GGGGGGGGGGGCAACAGTGTGAGGGCTTCTAGTGTCCTGGCCCCACTGATGGACCTCCTGATGGCACCTGGTATTTCTGGCCACTGTGTGACAGAGTGTTGGACTAGATGGGCCATTGGCCTGATCCAAAATTGGCTTCTCTTATGTTCTGATCTGGTGTAACTGGTATATACTTGATCATAAAAATAGAAAATGGGAACATAAATTTAAATGCCATACTGTAGACATCTGTTACAGTGGCTGAAGTATAACACTCTTGAGATGGAGGTACAACTTGCATATGTATTAATTTCACTAAGTGACTTCATGTTTAATATTTTTTTCTACCATAGGATCCTAAAGAACGCTTAGGATGCCATCCTCAGACAGGATTTGCAGACATTCAGGGACATCCCTTCTTTCGTAATGTAGATTGGGATCTGGTAAGTATAAGGTGTAAACAGCAGCTGTAATGATTTATTTGAGAGAATGTATGTTTCTTCATGAGCTAGCTTCTGTAATTGGTGCTTTCAGTTTGCCAAGCATTTTCAGCTGTTTCTCATGTTTGCACTTTTGTATGTAGATATGACACAGTAAAAACAGATCTATATCCTGAGGGCTGGGAGAGAGGTATATTATGGTATTCCAGAGGAGCATAAACTCTGCAAAGCTGTGGTCATCTGTGTGTGTTTCATGAGCACTGTAACCCATTATCAGACTTGTTAGTTAACCTTAATTACTTGGTGAAATCATGTCTGATGTCTGTGTTGTTCTTTTTAAGAGGTATCACCTAATGCTGTATATGTTTATTCTAAGATGGAGCAAAAACAGGTGGTTCCTCCATTTAAACCAAACATATCTGGGGAATTTGGTCTGGACAACTTTGATTCCCAGTTCACTAATGAGCCTGTTCAACTCACTCCTGATGATGAGTAAGTAAATGAATTCTTAATGAATCCTTAATTTAGTAAATCAGACAGCAAACAATCTGATTACTCTTCTGTAACAAATCTCATAGTGGTGAGTGCCTGTGGATGACTAATAGCTAAGTGGAACCTCCATATTAAAAAGCATTATGTCTTTGTATGCCACTTGCTGGTGGAGAGAAAGGAGACAGCAGAAAAGGGCTATTGCCATTATGCCATGTTTGGGTATTTAAAAATGGAACACTGGACTAAATGAACCCTTAGTCTGATCCAGGAAAGGCTCTTGTTCTTATGAACAATGACTGCCCACAGTGGTATAGGAGCGCAGTTGAAGGATACATAGTATTCTGGCTACCCTAATTTCTGAGATTGTGTTAGGATTTGTGTTAGGTGCCAATCCTGAAATTTGGAACGACTACAATAACTCTTGAGTGTGTGTACAGTACTGTCAAGTCTCATCCGTTTTAGGGTTTTCAAGGCAAGAGACTAATAGAGGTGATTGGCTATTGCTTGCTCTGCATAGCAACCCTGTACTTCCTTGGTGGTCTTCCATCCAAGTACTAACCTGACCCTGCTTAGTTTCCTGAGATCTAACGAGATTGGGGTAGCCTAGGCCACCCAGGTCAGGGCAGACAAACAGAGGTGATTTGCCATTGTGTGCCTCTGCATAGCAACCCTGGACTTTCTTGGTGGTCTCCCATCTAAATATAACTAGGGTTGACCCTGCTTCTCTTCCAAGATCAGACTAGCTTGGGCCATCCAAGTCAAGGTACAGTAACTCTTTAAGATAGCTTTATTGGTTTGATTGCTTTTTTGGTCTTAAATGGGTTTTAATGCCAGATTTTTAACAGCTGTTAATTTTTAATTACGGTTATGCTTTGTTTTTTTTTATCATGTATTAAACTTCCTCAAGTGGGTTTTCTGGAGAGGCAGCATAGAAGTTTTCAAAGTAAATAAACCTTTCCTTGGAATAGAAAAAAATAGATTTCTTAGATGGTGCTATGAGGAGAGGACAGATTTTTTGGAAGAGCAGGTCCTCCTGAAGAACAGTCCTAGGAGTATTACGTTATATGTGAGCAACTTATGGGTATAGTTCCAGCTTGGGGGGGGGGGAGTATTTAAAATGTTTCTCATATATCTTTGCTTAGAGCCTCCAAAGTCATATAGCATATATAAAAGCATGACTAAATTGTTAGTCTTTCTTCTGACTAGTAATATAAATGTGTTCTGTTTTGGAAGTTGGTAGGTAGCAGCACTGAAGTTGAATGCGGAAGTATGACCTTTGTAATCTGTCAAAATCAAAACTATTTGGGTGTCTGAAAAGAAGTGGATAGAACTGATGTGGAAAGGGCTGTAGTACAGAGTTAGTAAAGGTAAAGGTTCCCTTGCTCGAAAGCCAGTCGAATCCGACTCTAGGGTTGCGGTGCTCATCTCCGTTTCAAAGCCGAAGAGCCAGCGCTGTCCAAAGACGTTTCCGTGGTCATGTGGCCGGCATGACTAAACACCAAGGTGCACGGAACGCTGCTCCCTTCCCACCGAAGTAGTACCTATTTATCTACTTGCAATTTCTTGCTTTCGAACTGCTAGGTTGGCAGGAACAGAGTTAGTACTGGGAGGTTTTTATGGTGTGCAGTTGTATCCTGCTTGTCCAAAGCCAGTGGTGAGTTATATACTTGGAGCCAACTACACTACAGCTTCTGCTTCAGGCGTTCCATGAAACTGTAGCTTAATGATACGGTAAGGGTGTAATACCCTTCTGTGCATCTTTACAGAACTAAAATTTCTAGAGTGTTTTGGTTAAGGTATGAGAATACAATTGAAATAAAATCTTGCCTTGGAGCTTGTTTGTACTACTTCCCTTCCTGTTTTTCTCCTCTGACATAAATAGTGCTGTAACATTTTTGTGGTAGAAATCTTATGTCTCCTGTTTGCTTTTTTAGTGATATTGTGAAGAAGATTGACCAGTCTGAATTTGAAGGCTTTGAGTATATCAATCCTCTCCTGATGTCTGCCGAGGAATGCGTCTGATCGTCTCCCACTTCAAAACTGTGCCATTTGTTACTTCCTTTTTCTGCATGTGTTAGCAGCTTGCTGTTGAGATGGCAGTTGCTGAAATACATCAACCTTTTTCAGCAGCCATTTATCACCCATAAGTTTGAATTCTTCAGTTACAAGAATCTGAAATACTGTTCAAACCTGCTTTACAAAAGTTGAGCCTTCATAAGGGCAACTGTTAGCTGTCAAGCTGTCTAGTGTGGACATTGACTGACATTCTCTTTGAAATGTATTGCTCTGTATTCCAAAGGATCTTGCATTTAAGATCATAGTAATGGTATCATGGCAGGTTAGACTTTAAAACCCAGATTAGAGGATGTGACCTCTTCCTCTATTTGTTTTCAGCATGTCTGGTTACATGGGTACAATCTCAAGTTGACTTTGACACCGCTGGTTCTCAGTTGGTGATAGTAACATGCATTGCCAAAAGTATTCAGAAGATTGCAGCGGAATTGTCATGTAATGCTGCAGCCCACTCCCAAACCCTGAATTTTGGGTTTTGTCTTCCAAGTTAAAATTTAAGTTCAGCTTCTGAAACTTTCGTCTTATGTATATCTCAAAGGCTATACATTATTATTATTATTATACCTGAAGCTGTTCCTGAGCCTTGATGAAAGTGGCACAGGGTTAGTGTTAGCTTCTACCAGATTTCCTTTTTTACTGCAGCCCCCGTCCCATGTGGCTTTTGTCTGTGTAAGTCCCACCATCCTTGGTGTAGCTTTTCTGGTGTTCAAAAGAATCACCCTCCTCCTATTTTCTCCACTGTAGAAGCTAGTAGGGCCCAACATGTTTGTTTTTAATTTTGTGCATCCAAGGACAATGGACATTTTGTTGAGAACAATCGTGAGCCTGTTTCAAGAGGATTATGTTCTTGAACTTCAAAGTTTCTTCCTATTGAACTTCAAAGTTTCTTCCTATTGTTAACTAAGTTTTGTCAGGTACACATCATTTGATTTGTGAATGAGTGCCTTCCTGAGCCTGTTCTTTCAACAAGGGCTAGTAAGAGGTGTGATGTCAGTTGAAATGAACAGAACTAAACATTTAAAAAAATATATTTCACATAGGCAGGCAGCTAATTCTCACAAATAAGGCCTTGAGCTATTTTCTTCAGAATTGTGTAACTCCAAGTGTATCTGAAATGGTATTCATAATAGATTCAGGCAGCTAGTAATGTTAACTTACCACTTTAAAAAATTGAAAAGCTTCTACCATACCAGTGTCAAAGGATCTCTCTAGTGATCTTAGCCAGAGATTTCTTACACTAAATATCTTATCACTGTCCTAAACATTCACCTGTAATTTTCACATTAATTAACAAAGCACAGGAATAAAGAAAAGCCAAAATAACTGGATGGTTGAAGGTTCAAATTCTAAAGGTCTATATATGACTAATAAAAAGCAGCACAGTTTGCATTTGAAAGCTCAAAGACTTGGCTGCTTGGAGATATGTTGTCTGTACTTTTTGCTTGGTTTTTAAAATGCTTGTAAAAAGGGATTTTAAAAGTATGCACATCATAGTTGAACCTTCTGTGACGTAATATTAAAATGTATGGTACATTTGTACAGTATGGTAATTACCCATTTTAAAATATGAACTAATTTTTACAAACACTGACATGTTAAACTGAAGGAGAGAAGGTAACTTGTCTTTGCACTTGCCCTTACTATTTGAGCTGGCTCATGTTGGTTATGACTATGTTTAAGGAACTCTAATTGTATGTTGTAGTTTTGAGGGAAATCTATATATTGGGTAACTTGGTTTCTGTCTCCTTATGCTGAGTCCTTTTTCTAAAGTATCTGAAACTGGACCACTTGGGTACACTTAAGTTGCATGGTACAAAATGGCATTATCAGAGGTACATTTTTAACACATAGAAAGAGTAAAAAAATCTCACATCCAAGGTTTTTCTTCTAAGCATAAATTCAGTGATTTTACAGATGTTACATATTATGTGCTTTCTTCCTGTATCTGTGTGTAATAACTATTTCATGTTGTGGTATATCTTCCTTTGTCACCTTTAAAAAAAAAGAGTGATATGTTAAAAGCAAAATGTCAAAGATTTTTTTTATTTTCATATTTGTTTCAAACAAGTGCCATTGTATTAAATTGTTGTGTATTTTAAAAAAACATGTTAAATGTGTAGAAGCTTGTCTTAAAATGTTGATGAGGGAATTTGGTCATGAATGATAAGGGAGCATGATGTTTGGGGAATAACCTTTAGCATAAAAATTGGACTGATGGGTGCTTCTTCTTTACTGTTGCTGCTGTGTGTGTTCATTTTGCAGTCTTGGACATTATGTTGTATATCTGTATTTCTGCACACTTTTTTACTTTCCATTTTTAAGTCTCAAAATAAAACACAGCAGGGTTTTTTATTTAAATTCTTTGTTACATCCCTTTGTACTCTGGTCAAGGATTCCTTTTAGTTGTTTTATTTACTTTCAGTATGTTGTCTTCATTATTAGTGATTTAGCAGTTGTTACAACTGGTAGAGCAATCTATCACTGAACTCCAGAATCCTGATTTTACAATAGAAATCCATGTACACTGTGAACAGTGACAGGGCAGAGCTCATTTGAAGATTTAGTGATGCTAGCTGTCAGCTGGATACATACATCCCAATGTAAACATGAAGGCTTTGCTTGATGCAAAAAATGTGGAGTAACAGCATGGTGTGCTAGATTATAACACCTTGGCAGATTTTTCATGCTCCATTAAAAAATTACATTCAAGACAGGAAAGTGGAAGTTTAATAAAAGAAAAGCAGTACAAAAGCTATGGAAAGCTTGCATAATAAAACTGGGGCAGCTGCTAGAAGATTGTCTACAAGTGGAGGGAAGCATACCCTGCTGCCTCATGCGGGAGTGAATGTCTCTTCAGTAAAAGTAAAAAAAATACCCACTGGGGTTTGGTTAAAAAATGAAAAAGTTGACCCAGACAATTTAAAAATTGTCCGAACAAAAGAAAGCAATGAAACATTGCTCCACATGCAGCCAGCTGGGTGACCTTGGGTCAGTCACAACTTCTCTCAGAGCTGTTGTCTCAAGAGCAGTTTCTGTCAGAGCTTGCTCAGCCCCACCTACTTCATAGGGTGTCTGTTGTGGGTAGAGGAAGGGAAGGCGATTGAAAGCCACTCTTGAAGGGCGGGATATAAATCCCACTCTCCTTCAAAATAAAAAAAGCAATGAAACATCCCTTCTGTAACAACTTCTTCCCTAATCTGCTTGCTTCTGTATCCATTATGTCGATCTAGTTTGCAGGGCCCATGCTTCCATTGCTTGCAGCCCCCTGCTACTGAGTGAGTCTAGGCAATGCACAGCTCTTACAAATCCCCTGTGTAAAGGGGATTATGCATCTGACTGACAACTGTCACCCCCCTGAATATGGATTCCGGAGGCTGCACACCTGAGCACTGAGGTAGAGAATTTTACAGATTTTTCAAGGTCACGATCGCTTGCATGAAGTTGGAGTCCATTTTGCTGCTCGCGTGGACAAGAGGTAAACTCTGAGATTCAGTTTTTCTGAGAGATTGTTTTTAGAAAGTGGGTGGGGTTAGGTAGGTTTTTGTTCAGTAAGGCTTCTGATTAGCCACTGCAGATACCATTTTCTGTGTATATTAGAAAAAACTACTAGAATTCCAAAGGTGCTCACAGACTTAAATGGTTTGAGAACCCCTGTCATAATTCATTGTATCCATAATTCCTGACATAATTGGGGATGTGGGAGGCTCACAAGATATTTTGTAGGGAGTGGGATCACTCCATTGTCCATGTGGTTGAAATAATTTATGATTTACAAGAAGTGGCTGGGTTCTGAGTGGCAGAACTAGGTGTTTTCAGTTGGATTAAACCGAAGCAAGTGTTCCTAGACAGTTTACAAAACTTCAGGTGAGGTGACTGCACGTTCTCAAAATGGGATTAGTTCAACAGTATGCCATATTTTTGTAGGAAAAAGATATAGATATTTCAGAGTACTCACAGTAGTTTAAAAACAGATAAAACAAAATTTTAAAAATACAAAGTAAATTAGTACCAGCATCAGGGAACAATCGTAGAACCACAAGCTTGGCAGGGGGAGAGAACAAAAGCAGAATTAAAATTCTTCACATTGTGGCTGAGAATAGCCACAGAAGGTGCCAGGTGAACTTCAAGGCAAGGAAGAGTCCCACAGATACACTACCTCCCTGAAAAGGCTTGGTTTATCTGCAGGAAATTCCAGAACATAGCAAAGGCTAAGCCAATTTATGGGAGAAAGTAGTTCCATATTATTCAGGGCAGTGGACATCAAAGCCAGTGCTTTGCATTGCATCGTGAAACACATTGCCAAGCAGTGTAAATTACCGCAGAGGTAATGCAGTCTCAGCGGCATATCCTTGATAATTCCATTGCTGTGACCTGTTTTCCTAAGAAGTCTTCAAAGAAAACTCTTATGTAAAAGTGTATTGGAGTCATCAGGAGCACAACCATCTCCAGGTCACGTTTCCCAGATAAGGTCCAAGTTTTTCTCCCCCTCTCATAATACTAGAATTTGGAGGCACCCAATGAAATTGCTGGGAAATAGAACAAACCAAACTCAAGTAATTACACTGGAATTCACTGCCCGGGAGATAAAGATGGCTATGAGTACAGATAGCTTTAAAACGGAGGCAGCAACACTGGAGGACCTTGGCCTTTATGCCCTGTTTGCCCTCCTGGACAACTGGTTGGCTGTTGTGTGAACAAGGATGCTGGGCTTGATGGATCCCTGGTCTGGGTTCCAAGATGGTGTCGGGGCAGCTGCTCTGACACACGACGCACCGCAAGTGACTTGCAAATTTGTTATTTTATCTTATTTTACTTAATTTATTGCTGGACTTTTATGCAGTATAATTACTTTCTAAACAGTGGTCTGTAGCAGCATGTTTTTAGCACTATTTTGATCAGCCGAAGGATGTGTGGAGGAGTTTTAGCCTTGAGAGCTTTCCTTTGAGAGTTTTTCGCTCTTTTATATGTGCCAGCTGTTTCCTTTTTGAGTGCAATTTCTTCAGTATATATTATACGAACTGTGAGCCCCTGCCTGCAACTCCAGTTTCCTGATACTTGGCTTAAATGACAACAACACAGTAACAAGTTTATCTTAAGACAGATGAGAATGAAGCTCCAAAAGCGAGGAAGAGAAATGGAGGCTGACTCTCTACCGGCCACTAAGCAAGCCAAGATTGGAGATTACTTTGCGTCTTCTCGTGATGCACCTTCTCCAATCTCAGTGTCTAATCTCAGTCTAAATTGAGGGAGCGGTGGTGCAGGTGGTAAAAGCCTGCAGTAATTCCATCTAGCGAACAGCCATAAGGCTGTTCGAGACCCACCGCGGCCGGGGTGAGCTCCTGGCCCTTGTCCCAGCTCCCGCCCACCCAGCAGTTCGAAAGCTCTGCAAGTAGATAAATGGGTACCTGCTCCTAGGTAGCAGGGGGCACCCTCCTCCCTATGGGGCGGTGTGTGGCAGAAGTGCAGCAGAAGTACCAGAAAGCGGTGGTGTGGTGATGAGCGGTGGCGATAAATGGCGAGCGACGAGCGGTGACGACGGCAAATATCCGGCGCCGAGCAGCAGCTGAATCCGGGCGGAGACTGACTGGAAGGAGCAGAGGTGTAATGACGCAAACACGGCAGAGCCAGTGGGACAAATGCCGAAGCTATGGTCATAGCCGCGCACCACGAGGACCCGACCCGGAGGAGCTGCTACAAAAATAAGACCAGCACCAGACGCCGCCGCCAGAAAGATGGATGGTGGGAAAGGAGCCGAGCACGGATAAATGAAGCCGAGAAACAAAGAGAGCAACAACAAAGAGCCTTGCTGTCCGGATGCCGGTAGGCAGTCACACACACACAC